AAAATTCCCAGTGGCAATTTGAGGACCTTTTTGTCAGGAAATAAGGGTAATTAGATCACAGCTTCCAGCAAAGTAGGGAAGACTCTTCAGGGAAGAGGGCCAGGGTGGTAACATGGAGGCCTGAGGAAGTTAATGGGATACCCTAAAGTCTTTAGACACTATTTCTATTTGAGAATGCAATTTCTATGCCAAGAGTGTGCACACGCTTGTACTGCCATCACAAATACTTATGTTCAAATGACTCTGCCCCTTACCTGCTGTGACCTAGAACTTAGGGTCAGTGGGCCATTTAGGCCTAAAAGGAAACCTTATGTGGCCATGTATAGGGGTGAATAGATACATGATAAATAGACAGATAGATGATAGATAGATAGATCACTAGAGTTGAACCATCTTTTCCTACATGCCACTCCCTAACAAAACACTATTAAATCATCACTATTAATATTTAAGAGTTTCTTGTTAAAGACCGCTTAACACATGTAGTAGAAAATAGAGAAGGAGGAGAAGCAGTTCAAATGAACTAGTAACATTCAAAAGGCTGCTTCCCCAAGTATATAAGACACAAGTTGAAATTCAAAGACTGAATTTACTATGGAAAACACAAATACTTTTGAGGCCTTTCACAAGGTACCCAGAATGAAACAATCAAGAAAATTTCGGACTCATTTGCCTGTGTAGAAAGAGCTGGGAGTCAGATGGCACAGTTACCCTCAGGAAAAGTCCTTTCAGGCATGTCATTCTCTGGGACAACAGGCAGAAAGGTAATGTCCATAAAATTATACCCAAAATAAGGGGTGGGAGAGGAAGATTCTCCTAGAAGATGAGAAACTAATGCTGATACAAAGAACAAATAGGGTTTTAACTTATTTTTATCTCCCTGTAAACCATGTCAATTCTAGGCATTACTCAACTTCATTTTATTGAATCCCTCAATTTATTAATTATTGTTCTCCAATAATCACACACCTGTCTACAACTTACCTGTGGATATTAAAGTTCTGCCATGAATAACTAGCTGAGATTAACCACTTAGCAGAACTTATTTCACAAATTCTTTTGTTGTTTTTGAAAGAAATTGAATAAAATGTTACTTTAAGCTTCAAGTTTCCAACCCCTGTCTGCACCTGGACAGAATATGAAACTTCTTCAGGTTTATGTTAATGGTTCTGGGATTGAACCAGAAGACAGTGGTGACCTTGCTGAAGAAGGTGGGTCATACAGGGCATGAGCAAGGCCCATCAGAGAGCCTCCATTTCTATCAGGGGACAGGGAGACAGCTTGGTGACCAAAGGCACTTCCTGTGTGAGCCATGAGACCTTAGTGGATGTTATCTTTTAACACTATTTGAATAACCGCAGAGGTGAGGTATAGAGTAGGGAGCTATTGGGGAAGGAAGGATCTCCCAAGGAAGGGGAAATAGAACATACGGAGATAAACAGAAGGGATTGGGAGGATTAAACTGGGAGGAAGAGCAGAGTAAGGGAAGAAATATGGGGAAGAACTGCAAACAACAGGGTATTTGAGAAGTCATACAAAAACCGACTACATCAGAAGCCTCTTAAAATACATATGGATGTGAACGGAATCTTAATGGAATCACCAAGTAATGAAGAAGTCAAAGCCTCAACTGGACATCACTCAAATCCAAGTGAAACCTGCAGTGAGTGTCAAGAATGGGTTGCATCTAACTGAGTTGTTGTCAAAGGTGTCCCATAACCACCACCCCCCAAACAACTCAGTCTGTTACCAAGGCTATTGGTTGCTCTCCAGAAACTGATGTTTAGGCCCTATTGCTGAAGACAACACCTTCGCAACTCACTAAACATGCAGAAGTTGAGCTGGTGCTTTCCTCGGGCCTTCATTCCTACTGACTAGTGTTCATGGTACTGAAAGGTACCCTGCACACTACCAGAGGAGAGAGGTAAACACCAAGCTGCAAACCCTGTGATCTACAGTCATGGCCTGTTTGCATGATATGCTGGTATAATGGTGGCACAAACATTGTGGGAGTAGCCAGTAACTATCTGATTGGATTTAATGCCAGCTCCATGAGATGGAACCCAAGCCTGACACTGCTTGTGAGACTAGATAGGCCATGGACCTAGAAGAAAACCAAGCACTACTGTTCTGCTAAAGGAACATAGCAGTAAAATTCCTAATGACATTCTGCTATACCCATAGGTGGGTGTCTCAGTCATCATTAGAGAAAGATAGGACTTAATACGGAGATGCGTAACTGGACAATATGCAGAGAATGAGAGACTTTGAAACACCTACTTCTAACTGGGATGGCTCCATCAAATCCCTCCCCTAAGGGCTCAGGGAACTATGCGGAAGAGGAAGCACAAAGACTGTGAAAGCCAGAGGGGATGGATGACACCAAGGAAACAACACCCTCCAGTCATAGCAGGACTGACGCACATATGAACTTAACAGAGACTGTGACAGCATGCTCAGGACCTGCACAGGTTCAAAGTACAGGGGGTCCCAGTGATGGGATGGAGAAGTAGACACAAGCTCTCCTCACCAACCAAGAAATACACCCACTTGATAACTGCTCCAGAAGGAAAAGTTTGTTTCTCCAAGGAAGTCTCACTGGGGACACAAACCACACTTAAAGTCAGGCCCCATGCCTAGCAGTAGATGACAAACAAAATGAACTCAATAGTACTTTACTGGTCTTCTACTTATAGGTATTATGGTTTCCGATTTTATATTTTTATGGTGTGTGTACTTGTGTGTGTGTGTGTGTGTGTGTGTGTGTGTGTGTGTGTGTGTGTGTGGTGTCTCTTGCTATTTCTTTCTTTTTGTTAGTTTGTTCGTTTTGTTTTATCCTTGTTTGTCTTTTTTATTTTTCTGTCTTTTTTAAGAGAGAGAGAGAGTGAAGGTTGCAGTTGGAAGATTGGAGTGGTGGGAAGAACAATAACCCATTTTTAGAATACATCGTATGAAAATAACTATTTTACATAGGATGTAAAATAAAATAAGCATTTGCGGAGTGCCAGCCCCCTTTAACTGTCGCAGCATAGCCTGTGCCTCTCTTCTGATGACTGTGTTTTCACTGTTTTCCTTGCCTAGGCTGCAGCCACTCCGCTGAAGTCTTCTCATACCCACCTACCCCCCATCAGATGCCCACAAAAAGGGTTCTGTCTCTGTGAGACTTTCTCCCAGTTCTATCCTATGCTGTTTTACTCTGATATAACTCCCCTTATATGAGGAAGCTGTGGACAAATGACTAGAGAGGAAATGAATGCTTCACATCAAGACAAGATCTATCAAAGCATTGTTTATGAATAAGATACTGGCTGTACAGAGAGAACAGACATCCATAAGGTGAGAGTGTCCTGAGAACACTGACTTTGGTACCTTGGGGAAGGTGGGTGATGCCATGAGGGCTGAAGTAAGGGAATGGAGGTCAGTGTTTCTCCATGTCTATTCAGGAGTAGAGGTACCTACACAGGCAGACCACCTGTCTCTAATGGGGAAACAGATACCACGAGTCAGCTCCCACTTCAGTTTTATATGAAACATGAGTCCTTGAGTGCATGTCTTTCTGTACAGTCATGCATGTATTTTGCTATGCCAGAGACTCTCTGAATGAATGAACATATAAATCTGTGCATGAATGTGTGTGTATGTAGTGTAAACATGTGTCCCCTGGCTCAATTATGTACATATACACTGGCATGTGAGTATACACCCCACACACATACCATACACACCAAATACACATGCACACCACATACATACATACCATACACACACATACTACACACACCACACACATACACAAATACCACATACATACCACACACACCTGATACACACACATACCACACACACCACACACATACACAAATGCCACATACATACCACACACACCTGATACACACACATACCACACACACCACACACATACACAAATGCCACATACATACCACACACACCTGATACACACACATACCACACACACCACACACATACACAAATGCCACATACATACCACACACACCTGATACACACACATACCACACACACCACACACATAACACATACCATACACACATATATATACCACACACATACCACATACATACCACATGCATACATACGTACATACCACATGCATACACCACACACACATACACCATACACACAATACTATACACACAACACACCCCACACATATCATAAACACCACACACACATACTACATATCCTACACACATATTATACACACCACACAATATACATATACCACACACATATCACACACCACATACACACATGCACACACACCATATACACACATACACACATACAACGCACACCATACATACATAACACACATACCATACACACATATATATACCACATCATACACACATGCCTCACACACACACACACACTCGCACACACAATACACCCCCACACACAACTTATACACATACTACACACCACACACACACACATATACCATACACATACATACCACACATACCATACACACATACACCACACAAATACACATCACACACACATACCATATACACACCAAGTATACCACACACACAACATATATACATACCACCCACACCATACACACACACACACCATGCGTACACACACACACACACACACACACACACACACACAGCCTTGGAGTGTGCTATTGGAGCATGCTGTTGGAGTATGCTGTGCCTATGTGTTTAACAGGCTGGCCTTTTCTAAAGTAAGATGGATATGAGTTGGAGAAAACAACCATTTAATTGGTGAAGGACATCTCTTTCACAAATGTCTTCTTTGAGCCCAAACAATCTGCTAGGGGTCACAGTTTCTGATTTCCCAGGGCTCTTCGCCGGGGATGAAGAGAATGCTATGAGTCATGAGTAACACAGCCTCTGGCTTTCTAGAAGTGTGAGAAGTCCCTATATAAACGGGATCCTGGAGCAGGCAGGGAGGGACCAGCTATGGTCTGACCAGAGAGAAGGGACACCATGCCTAGCCTTCCTTTGCTGTTGCTTCTTTGGGGCACCAGCTCTTATGCCTTCCCCGTGTTTGAAGAAGGACACCGGCAAGATGTGGAGACTACCTGGGTAAATGGGTGCTAAATTGCATATAACAGGAATTCGCGTCATTACTTTGCACACTTCTATTTCAGCATGATAGCAATTAGGGATAGATTGTCTTCTAAGAGAAATGGTGTTTGCCAGAAACCAAGTCTAGATAGCTTCTTTCTGGGTGGCGGGGAGGGAACCCAAGGAAGGAGAGGCAGCTTCCTCTTGAATGTGGATTTGCAACAGAGTGCAGACCTCACCTACAAATCTTGTTCTACCACAGGTTTCAGGATTCTCAGTACTTAATGGTGGGAGATCTCTGCTCTGCAATAATGAGGGCAGTAAAAATAATTATCTAGTTTGGCTAAAACTTAGAATGTCAGGTTTTTAAAAAGGAGAACCTATTTCCATTTAGTGTTTCAATAACTTTAACTATTTATGTATTTTAATTAAGTGTAATCTATCTCCACCCCACCTCAGGTAGATGCCAACAGTGGTCTTCAAATCTCCTGAGCCTGGGTTCTCTGCAGGCAGTCAGTGCTCTTACCTGCTGAGCCATCTCTCCAGACTTAGTGGTTCATTAATTTTATATTTTATCAGAAATACCTGGAAAACTACTACAACTTGAACAAAGATACAGCAGGTAACAACCCGAGTGGGAAGGAGTTGATGGCTACAAAGCTGAAGCAAATGCAGCAATTATTTGGGCTGAAAGTGACTGGAAAGTCTGATTCTCAAACCCTGAGTGCCATGAGGAAGCCCAGGTGTGGGGTATCTGATGTGACACCACAAGCTATCACTTACGACAATCCCCGCTGGACAAAAACAGATCTGACATACAGGTAACTAGACAGTGCATCAGAATCAAAATGGGGTCATCATTTGCCATTTGAGGAGAAGGACGCAAGACCCAATGTGTCTCCATCTTATTTTTTTCTTAGCATTTTAAACTACACACCATATTTGTCAAGAGCAGTTGTGGAAGAGTCCTTCGAGAAAGCCTTCCAAGTCTGGAGTAGTGTGACACCACTAACATTCACCAGGGTCTATGATGAGGATGGAGACATTGTGCTGGCTTTCTACAGAGGAGGTAAGTTCTTCAACCTCACCCTGCCCTTCAACCTCCTCTGCTCTGCAGGGCAGTTGCTTATTGAAGAGTGTTATTGAGTTTATGGGTGGAGGAGTAAAATGGCATCACATTGCATGGAAGTCTATTGACTGTTCAGCAAAGTTCAGAGCTAACCAACATCAGAACCAAATGAGCCTTTTATTGAATTTTGTTTCTTGCAGACCATGATGACAATAACCCTTTTGATGGACCTAACTATGGCCTTGCTCACGCTTTTCAGCCAGGCCCAGGGATTGGGGGCGATGTTCATTTTGATCTTGATGAAAGGTGGACTGACACCAGTGAGAGTAAGTCTACTGATACTGATTCTCTCAATTCAACTGACACTCCCTAGTTCATTGCAGTGCTAGTTGATTTGATGGACAGAATGCATTATGGAAGTAGGTGATCTATTATTACTCAGAGAATTAGTGGCACACTGAGAAGCGTGAAACAGGAGTGGTTTCTGACGGTGTCTCATCTCCCTGGTGGCAAAAAGGTCACTCTAAAACTTCCTAAGAAATTCTGAGGGCTGATGAGATGCACCTCCTGAAATTCACAGTTTGATTCCTTGGGAGGAGAAACTGTACCCTTTAGGTTGTTCTCTGCCTTCCACACAGTCATCCTCTGTGTACTCTGAGCTTGCACGTGAGACACACACACACACACACACACACACACACACACACACACACAATAAGTAAATGTAAACAATTTATCTTTGAAGAAGAAAGGAAATGTTGAAGGTTTTAAAGTTTTACTTATGGACCTGGAATATTTTTTTACTAGAAAGGGATAATAAACTTAATAAATTTGGTATTGAACTTAGGAAACTGAATGAGAAAAGATGGTTTTGTGCTTTCCAATTTCTCCAGCACTAATCATTTACCTGCTTTGAAAATAAAAAGGTGCAAACTGTTAGAGCTTCATTGCCCCTCTGCAAAGGAACTCATCCCAGCTCATTGTTAGCATGAACTCATGTGAGCTGGGCTTTAGATCAGTGAGATCTCTATTGTGCCAATATAATCCTAGAGTGTAGGCTTGACTGTGTGTGCATGCTCCCACCATCAGAAAAAGACTGTGTATACGTATGTGTATTTCAAAAAGGGACTTGGGAGATACATTCATCCTGGAAGATTATTTCCTTACTGCCTCAAAACAATATAATTTTTAGTAATTAGAAATGGATCTTTGTCCTTTCAGATTTCAACTTATTCTATGTTGCAACTCATGAATTGGGCCACTCCCTTGGACTCACTCATTCTTCTGATATAGGGGCACTAATGTTCCCCAGCTACACATGGTACACTGATGACTTTGTGCTAAACCAGGAAGATATTAATCGCATCCAGGCTTTATATGGTGAGTGAAGCAGCCATTAGCTGTAGAAAGCACTTTCATTCTTCGGGTGGGTTTCTGGAACCATGGGAACTAACTCCAAGTCTCTGATATTCTTTAGGACATTCCCCAAATCCCATCCAGCCCACAGGTGCAACAACCCCACAACCGTGTGAGAGTGGTCTAAACTTTGATGCTATAACTACTTTTCGGGGAGAGGTGATGTTCTTTAAAGGCAGGTAAGGTCTTGCTTTTCACTGGGTTCTATATTCACTGTTGTAGGCCACCAACATGGCTCATGTATTAACCTACAGTGTTTGTAATTACATGGTAACAATTGATTATGTTTCTTTTCTTTTCTTTTTGCAACTTATAATGACTGGTTCTACATGGATTAGGTCAGTTGATTGAGAAAATTCACCATGGTAGTGAAAACAAGTCAGTCTAATGTCATTCTGTGGATCTGAAAATTAGGCAGGAAAGGAAAGAGGGGCCCTCTGGGGACACAGAGGGTCTGGGTGGCAGAACAGATATCAGTCTCCTACCCCCTGTTCAGAGCTCTGTCTCAGCTCTCAATCTGTGCATTGATGAGTATAACAGTACTTTCCCAGAAAACGTGGATCTTTTACAAACTATTACGTAGGCCTCCAAACCTTTTCACAGCATTGCTTTTCTCCTCAAGGGTCTCTGTGGCCCCTGGAGGATCAGGAAAGAGAAAGGAAAAAGCCATTGCCAGAAGACTTCTGAGTTCCTCAGCTTCTCCCTCAGGCAGAGAAGGGCAGCCAGGATGCTGTGCAAGCTGCACAGGGAAGAGAACTTAAAATTCCCTCTCAGTATGTGGACCTGAAAACATGCTAGTCCCTTCCACACCAGGCTTACTCTCCACATCACAGTGATTTCTAAAGATCTAGGCAACATAATAGCACACCCAGATGCTCCCCACTGAAAAGTGAATAGAGCAGAGGTGCTCTGGAAGGCTGGGTTCCTCCAGCCTCTCCTTTCAGGGTGCACTTGGTGCTGTCTGGCTACATTGTGATTGGCTCTGAATGCTTTCCAGGCTCTCCTTTACTACTTTTGAGAATGAAAGATAAGGATGGATCCTGCATGATGTGAGACTTTGAGACATAGCCTTAAAGGAAATCTCAAAGGCTGGGAATGTGGCTCAGTAGATAGGCCATGCACAGACTCACAGCATCACGAACATGATGGTACACACCTGTAATCTCAGCAAGTGGAAGGGAGAGGCAGGAATCTCAGAAGTTCAGCATTGGGCTGGAGAGATAGCTGAGCAGTACAGAGCGCACTTGTTACTCTTGAAGAAGTTCTGGATTTGGTCTGCAGCACCCACAACCTCTGTGGCCATTGGGCAAGCACACAGTGCGCAGACATACATGCAGGCAAACATTCATGCACAAAAATAAAATGAATAAATCTAAAAAAAAACCTTTGAAGCAAGTTCAAGATAATTATCCTAGAAGTTAGCTTGGGTTCTCTGTCTTGAAAAGCCCCCCCCCAAAAAAAACCCATGATGTAGGTAAGCCTGTTTGGTTTTTGAGTTGAGTCTGTATTCTGTATCTGTGTTACACATGTATGGATTCAATTAGTCAAAGATCTATGAAGCTAACCAATATTTTTCTACTTCATCCGTACTGAGTTTTCTTGACATTATACCAAAATATTATCATATAATAACATTTAAATAGCATTATTTAGATAATTCAAAGCATAACAAGATGTTCATAGACTATATATATTATTTTTATATTTGAAATTATAATATAATCACATCCTTTTGCCATTCCCTTTCCTCCCTCAAATCCCTCCCATACACCCCTCCTTGCTCTCTTTCAAATTCATGGCCTCTTTTTTCATTAGTTGTTTTTACATGCATCTATGTATATGCATATGTAAATCCTTAAATATAACCTGCTCACTCTGTATCTTGTTACTTATATGTATTTTTTAGGGTTTAGTACTGGATAATCAATTGGTGTGCTATTCCTTGGGGAAGACTATTTCTCTTTTCTTGGCATTTCTTATTGCCTGTAGTTCTTTGGGTAAGGCTGAGGCTTTGTGGACTTTTCTAACCCACTTTGGAAAGTCTGTTGTTGTCTGTACACAGCTCATGCTTAGGCAGTCATGTTGTTGAGATGTTTCAGGTGTAGCTTCTGACATTACTAGGAGACACAGTGCCATAGCAGACTCCCTGCTCATCTACGAGCAGGGCCTTTACACTCTCTCCACCCCACTTACTCAATGTCCCCTGAGCCTTAGGTGTGGGAGTGTTTTGGAGATGTATACACTGTTACTGAACTCCACAATGTCACATTTTGATTGGCTGTGGTTTTCTGTAGTGGTCTCTGTATGTTGCAAAAAGGAGTTTCCTTGTTGAGGGCTAAACACTACACTTATCTGTGGCCATAAAGACAAATATTTAGAATGCAATTAGGGACTATGACAGTTTAGTAAAGTGGTTATTATAGGTTTTCCTTCAATATACATGATACCACTATGCCAGGCACAGTTTACCTCTAAATGAGCAGATCTGAAGTATAATTAGAGAGTTGTTGGTTACCTTCAAGGTATGAATGCCACTACTGTACCCTTAAGGGTACCATGTTGAACATTATTGTGGTTCATAAACACCACAGCTGGGTAGAACTGTCATTAGCCTTCCACCTTTGGGAGCTTACATGGCACTCTCCGGTATGATGGCTAGTGCTCCAGGAAGAGGCTTTCAGGTGAGTGTGTGTGAGGTGAATGGTGTCTTCAGCAATAGGGACTTATCTTCCACCTCTGGGGGCAACCAAGGATAATGGCAATAGCCTATAATGTTTGCAGACTCTCTTGAAGAACCCTGACCAATAACTCAAAAGAGGGATTCTCACACCTGGTGTTGAGGTTTTTATTAGTTAGGTGCTCTGAATCCTTATTACAGTTTCAGATATCGCTACTCTTACCTTTCTTCTGTATTTATCTCCCTTCCCCCTCTCTAATTAGTGGGTAAAAAAATTACCCACTTTTTTTTCTGATCAAATCACTTGTCCCCTACTATTCTTCTCTTTATTGCTCCCCAACCTTTCTACTCTGGTAATGGTCCCTTTTCACTTTCCTGGTTTCTGTAGTTACTCGAGGGTATTTACTCTCCTCTGAAGATCTGGAGCTAGGAGCCTCTGATGAGAGAGAATGTGTGTTGTTTGTCTTCCTGAGTCTGGGTTACTTCACTCAATATGATCTTTTCTAGTTTCATCTATTTATCTGCAAAGTTCATAATTTCATTTTTTCTTTACAGATAATAATACTCCTAGTGTATATGTACACACACACACACACACACACACACACACACACACACACACACATTCAATATCCATTCATCAGTTGAAGGGCATTTAGGTTACTTCCATTTCTTAACTTTTGTGAACAAAACAGCAATGAACATAGATGAGCAAGTATCTATGGGCATATTCCTAGGAGTGATATAGCTGGGTTGTATGGTAGATTTATTTTTATTTGTTTTAGAATTCTTTACACTGATTTCCCTAGTGGTTGTGACAGTTTGCAGTTCCTGCCAACAGTGAATGAGGGTTATCACTTTTAAATATGCATGCATTCTGTTTTCAAGTATTTCACCAAGGATTTTTGAGTCTAGGTTCATCAGAACTATTGGTCTATAATTTTCTTGTGTGTGTATGTTTTACCTGGCTTGGGTATTAGAGTGATAATGGCTTCATAGAAGGAATTTAGATGTGTTCCTTCTGTTTTTGTTAATAGTTTAAGAAGGATTGACTGTAGATCTTCTCTGAATGTCTGATAGAATTCTGATGTGAATCCACCTGGCCCTGGACTTTCTTTTTTAATTTTCCTGCTTGGAGGGTTTTTTATTACTATTTTGTCTCCTCATTTGTCATGAGTCTGTTTAGGTAGCTGACATCTTCTAGGTTTAATTGTTTGTCATTGTCTTCCCTGAAATTTGTTGATTTGAGGCTTCACAGGTGCCAGGCCAGAGTTCTAACACTGAGCTATCTCCCCGGTCCTGTTTTCACTACCTTTTATTCATTCTATTGAGTTTGTTCATGCCATTTGTCTCAAATGACAGGGGTCCCAGATGATATACTATTGTTGATTTTAAGATTTGCCACAGGATGAGTATTTCTGTCAAGAGACAAGCATGTGGAACAGAAACCTTCATGTCCAGCCTCTCCTTTGGAGAGACTGTAAACATTACTGAGGGCAGCACTCCAGTGAAAAGGGGGTGGGGACTGCTGGGAGACTCACTGACAACTGTGCTCTCTCTTCCTTTCAAATCAGGTTCTACATTCGAGTAAACAGATTCATGGCAGAACCTGAGCTCAATTTGATAGGTATACTCTGGCCAAATCTGCCAGGTAAACTTGATGCTGCTTATGAAGCTAGTATAATAGATGAAGTCCGCTTTTTCAAAGGTAATATTTCTGATTGTTTCTCTGTTTTATAAATGAAATTTTCATTTAGCTTTGGAGTGAGATAAAATGGTTAGCTGTAGTCACCAAATGCACTTCTGAAAAATCTAAGTTTCATGAAGTAAGTTAATAGGAGCCCTTAGGCTTAGTTAAAAGTTATATTGTATGTTTAGCATAATGTTCATTAAAAAGTAAATGACTAGAGATATAGAGATTTAGGCTTGTTAAAGACCTTGCAAACAATCACTGTGTTTTAAACTTCCTTCATATCACTGAGATTGATCAGAAGTAAAACTGAGAGACACGGGCCAGTCCTACAAAGGAAGACACAGAAGGCTTTTGTGTATGCAGTTTCCTAGACCCCATTTTAATTTGAACCATCCCCTTGAGAGAGAGTGGCTATTACCAGGTAGACAGATGAGGCACTGCTGACTTGATTTCTCCTGGAAAGAGGTAACATGTTCCTTTGACTCTCATTCCAAGGCTCTTTTCTCGATGTCAGGCTACATGGTGGTAAATGAAATTAGTCGTGTTCCCAGTACCCTTTTGCTGATGGCATCTTGTCTCAAAAAACAAAAGAGATTCTCAAGTCTCACTTTGAACCTTCCTTGAGAGAATCTAAATTTTACTAAGTTTTCCAGGAAACTCATTCATAGATTAATGTATGTGAAAATCAAAGTCACAGTGGATGGAATTCAATGAGTCTGTGTGTCTCAGTGAGATCAAAGAGTCTAGCACTTCTGACTTGAAGACCATGTCAGACACATGTGTTTTTACCAACATGTTTGGTATAGTACAATTATTGAGACACCTGGTACAGTTGCACACTCAAACAAAGGAGAGAATGCAGTTCAGACTGGAAACAACACATCTCCAGCCGTTATTATGTAAAATTAAATAGAAGTTCACAAACACAGCTTTTAAAACACAATTTCATGTGAGCTGAAATAAGCATGTTTGTGAACAAGAGTGATTTACCTTCAAAACAGATCAGTTTCCTATGATATATGGCTTAGGTACTGTATATAGACTCTGGAATCTGACTAAATTTACATATCTACTTTTTAAGATGCCATTGAGCTTTGTTACCACTGAGGTAGCCTAGAACTTCTAATTGTTTGACTATCTGGCTTTGGAAAAAAACTTCAACTGAAATAGGGGGGAAAAAACATAACTCTCAGAGTAGAATAGCCTAAAAAGAAAAAAATGCATATAAACCAGGCTTGGTGGCTCATACCTTTAATCCCAGCACTTAAAAGGCTAAGGCAGGAGGATTGCTGCAAATTGGAGGCCAAGCATGGTTACACAGTGAATTCTAGACCAGACTATGTTATAGTGTAAGACTCTGTCTCAAAAACACAAGAATCAATCAGTCAAACAAAAGGTAAACTCATTTAATTGGTTTGAAATTGGATCCCAGTATCAGCATTAAACAAAGAACAAGACACCACCATCTTCCCTGGATGGTCGCAGTCCGTAGCTAGGTTAATGCTCTAGCCTGTGAAGCTTAGCTGGAAATGTAGACAAGGAAGTTCATCTGTGGCTTTTGATTGGCAGGCGATAAGGTGTGGGCTGTACGTACACGGAGTGTCCTGAGTGGATTCCCAGTGGACATCCACAGTTACTTCGGCTTCCCGACAAGTGTGACACACATTGACGCAGCTGTCTGTGAGGAAGAGACTGGAAAGACATACTTCTTTGTTGATGACATGTATTGGAGGTAAAGACTGAAATCTAAATAATGTTAGAGTGCCAGTTGTTTGAATACAGAAATGGCCTTGGCCAACTGCCTTTTTTTGTGAATGGTTATTGTAACGATAACTCTTTCCACCAGCTGCCTGAGTTCTGCCACCACGTTAGGGTCCCCAAATAACACACAGAGTCTTATATTAATTGCAGTGCTGCTGGCCAATGACTAGGATTTCTTATATTCTAGCTCTGTCTTAAGTATCAACCATAACCATTAATCTATATATTTTATAAAGATTTATCGGACGCCAGTGGCAGGCATCTTCTCTTGCTGGGATCACATGGCTGCTCCTGTCTTTACTACATTTCCCAGGATCCTCCTTCTCTCCTAGTCCCACCTAACTTGCTCCCCGATTGACCAACAGTGCTTTATTTATTAACCAATAAGACAAACATATACATAGAAGGACTTCCCCCATCAGGTTGCAGCCACTGAACATCCGTTAGTCAGTGAGCCTATGGCGCTGTTTGGGTCTGTGAAAAGATAGGACAGTGAGGGCATCCAACAAAGAGCAACTTTGGCCCGAACTTAACCATTCACATAACATTTTACCTTCAGAGAGTATCTAAATAGTTCATTGGGTTTCAGAGGGACCTTACGCATGTTTTGACATACCCAACATTCAACTTTTCCTCCCTCACCCAATTCACTCTTTTCTAATTTCAAGAATTAGAAATTGGTATGCAATCCATGCTGATGTGTTTTCCATAAATATTTTAAGCAATCTGCATGCTTGGTCAAAGGTCCTGATGCTTCTAACCACTTTTTGATCAGGTATGATGAATATAGACGGTCCATGGATCCAGGTTATCCCAAATTAATAACAGAGGACTTCCCTGGAGTTGGCAATAAAGTTGATGATGTTTTCCAGAAAGATGGTAAGAGTATAAAACGCATTTTCTCCATTTGTTACAATACTAAAAGTAACAGTATTATTCTAGGATAGCCAAGACAAGAAACCCTGTCTCAAAAAAAAAAAAATCCACACAAAGTAAATGTAAATTAAAATGCAAATGTTAAACATATATATACTGAAGTCATGCAGTACTCAGGATTGAGTTAAAATCTGGAAACTGCATATATGATATAATAAATATATTTCATTGTATTTCTAGGGTATTTCTATTTCTTTCACGAATCAAATCAATACAGATTTAACCTCCAAACAAGAGTGGTTGATGCTTCCCGGGATTCTAACACCTGGTTCAACTGCTAAGGATTCTGGCAGCCTATTCCCAGTCTATGAAAATACATGTCTCATGATGCAAAAGAAGATGCTCTTCTGAAGAGTCAAGCATTTTTATATTTATCTACCTTCTAGAATTGTTGATATACAGAGCTACTAAGCACACTTGTATTTATATTTTGCCTTTTATATTTTCGTATTTTATATATTTTATATTTCATCTTGCATGTTTTAGTTCAGTGTTTTAAAACAGTTTAGTGCCACAATTGACAGCCCAACAAGGTCGAGTTCCTGGTTGATAATTCATTGAAGAAGGCCATTGACTCTGACATTAACCCTAGGCCTCTCCTTTCAAGAGAGAAGGGTCAGCAGACAAACTCTCCCAGAAGAAAGGCAGTTCTTGAACACACGAATAGCTCTACATGAGGAAAATCCATTGATGCTTTAGGTCTGTTTTTTAAAACAAATCTTATAGGCCAGGCTGGCATTGTACTCACACCTCTTCTACCGCTGACACCCAAATGCTAGGATTTCAGGCATGCCCGTAATGCCCAGATAAGAATTTTTTTGTACAAAATAAAGATTTGATACTTAAAATAAAGCTACTTTTGTCTCTAATGCTTTATAAGCTTTCTATTTCTATTTTGTTACTACATGTTTATAAAGCCTCACCTATAAATGTTATTTCTTTCAAATTTGAAATGGAAAACAAACAATATGAAAAATACTCATGAGAAAATTAGTCTATCCAAAATTTTCAAATTTCTACACTCTTGTGGAGATCATCTACAGCAGGATGTGTCTCATAAGCACAGACATCATGGCACCTAGACCTTATTAATTATCATCAAGTACAGAGGTGCAGTGCTCAGAGTGGGTCCCAAACACTGGGCTATGATGTACGTGGCAGGGCTACAAGGCTGGACAAGAAAGGAGTTATTGAAATGGGCACCTAAAACTTGGGACTTGGCATTCCAAAAGGAATCCAGGAGCTGTTCCCATGTGCTGTTTACCTGGCACCTCACATCGTGCACACAGTGATGTTCCATAGTAAATGATATAAAGATCAAAACTTCTGTCTCAGTGTTGAGTTAGCAGCTAGAATGTGCAGGGAGACTGGAGCTTTATTACATGGAAATTAAGCACACTGCACCAGACTCTGGTCCTTAGCAAGGCCCAGAGGGCAGTTTTCCATAAGACTATAAGGTATATATTAGAAAAGGGATATAATGGTGTCTGAGGCACTTATGAGTGTGGGTGCATGTCCATACATCTGGGGAAGTCAGACAGTGTCTTAGGGTTTCCATTGCTATGAAGACATGCCATGACTACTGCAACTCTTCTAAAGGAATAATATTTAATTGGGGTTGCTTACAGTTTCCAAGATTTAGTCCATTATCATTGAAGGGACCAGCCCCCCATTTTGGCAGCCATGACAGTAACACATGCTCGCTATGACCTTGCCTTGGTCACTAAGAGGTTAGGTGCCTGCCTCGTGGCAAGGAACCAATCAGAAGTTAGCTGGTGGTGCTATGCTTTATGGCTCTGGGTGTGCTTTACGGACAAGTGCACAGCAATGACGTGCAGAGCACAGCAACCACCCTGGGAAATCAACACAGGGAAAGCCCTCCAAGCCTGAAGGCACACCAATCCTAAGCCTGTGAAGCTGCCCTACAACATCGCTTGGCAGCAGGTTCGAGGTGTCTTTTCTAGCCATCCGCCATGGCGGGTGGGTGAAAGACCCAAGCTAACATGGGGTTAGCTCATTAAACAACAATAAAACCTCATGCAGTTTGCATCAAGCTCTCAAATCTGTCTGCTGATTGGGGTGACCGAGGTCGTGGCCTTACCCCGGATACCTGAGTTTTCCAGGGGTCTAACATCATCATGGCGGGACACAGCTGCATACAGGCAGACATGGTGCTGGAGAAGGAGCTGAGAGTCCTACATCTTAATCTGCAGGCAGCAGAAGGAAATTGTCTCACATTGACCAGACTTGAGCTTATAAGACCTCGAAGCCTGTGTCCACAGTGACACACTTCCTCCAACAAGGCCATACCTCCTGCAACAAGTCCACACCTCTTAATAGTGCCACCCCCTTTGGGCTGGACATTTACACACATGAGTCTGTTGGGGTTACTCCTCTTCAAACTACCACAAACAGAAACCTCAGTTTTCATTCTTTATATGCCAGCCACCTTTCTTCTTTTTTCCTTCTTTCCTTATTTTTTTCTTCTTCTTTGTTTTTGGAGACAGCATCTCTCAGTGGCCTGGAACT